TGGATAGAGGCACCATCTTGTATGAAAACCATGTTTTCGCCGTAATGTTGATGGCCGAAGGGCAACATAAAGTTTGAGATCATGTCAACGTACTTGTCGGAGTTTTGGGTGCCCTCTAGGAAGGCCAGCTCCGACAACCCCGCGCCGGAAAAAGCCCCCCAAACCATGACACCGGCGCCGCCCTTTTGCCGCGTCAAAAACGTGTCAGGCTCCTTTCGTAAGTCGTGCCAATAGTACTGAAAGCCATCCGGTCCATCGAGATTGAACTTCTTCTCGTCGGACCAGATGACTTTAGTCCAATTGGTCGACTCACTGAGGTTCCTCATTGCGTATTCCAACCGGGTTTCCTTGTGCTTCGGGGTAAGTCGTGGAGTATGTTTGCGCTTCTCAAACTTCAAGCGCCCGCACGCTTGAAGTCGTCGTTGACATGTTCGCAACGAGCCTTCCAAGTTCAGGGTTGTTTTGAGAACCCTGGCCGATGATCCAGTCTGTCAAGCTTCACGAAGTAGGAGGCGGCAATCCCGGTCGACAAGAATGCGTCGCGGCATTCCACGGCAACGAGTGCCGTAGCCTTGAGGGTCCAAGATGTAGTTGCGTACTACATCCTTGGACCTTCCCATGGTCTTGGCGATGGCGCGGTTGGACATTCCGACCAAGTGAAAGGCCGCAATGGACCCTTTCTCTTCGTCGGTGAGTTGAGCTTCTTTTGCCATGCTGTAAAGGTTGTTAGTGGTTACGTGGCATTCAGAGTAGTCTTACTTAGAAGTTGACAGAAGCTTTTAACGTTACGTCGTGTGTGCCGTTCAATAGAGCGGAAATTTGGAAGTGGCTTTAAGTACTTGTCGCGGGGCAAAAGTACAATTTTGGCGGCAAATTGGTTGATTGAACCGCAGAGGACACCACATTATACCAGAAAATCCCGCCAATCAAGCTGCATCAAGTGAGCCAAACAGGTAATCGTGAACTCTAATTGGCGGGATTTTAACTGCCAAAAACTGGGTGGCTTTAAGTACATGGCGCGCACTGTAGTAACGCATGAACAACATACTTCTGGTCATGCTGATGGTAGATAAAAACACGTTTTCAATGTTAATGTTCAATCTTATATGGGTCGCTGCGGCTCGGGCATCGTTGTCGGTAATGCTCAAATTGTTACGCACAACTTTTGGTTGCGAGGACGTCGTTGAATTTGAGCGGCCAAAATGAACTATAGTACAGTATGGGTCAGTGACCGTGGTTCAAAGAAACAAGCCTCTGAGCATTGTTGGTAATACCAATGTGGACGTTTGGGTTTATGAACAGATCGCTGTAGGTTTGAACGGCACTGACATACGAGTTGAATATGCAGGTGATGCCGCCAGTGTTATCGGTGGACTTGGACAATTTCTCCATCGGAGTACCAGGAAACAAAGCGAAAGCGTAGCAGAGTCAAGAGCACTCGCGTCAGCGTCGTTCATTTGAACGGTGTCCTTGAATGCACCGAAAATAATGTTTTCAAACACCTCGTGATCCAAGTCCTTGGTGACCTCGTAGCTAGGGCTGAACACCATGCGTACCTTCCCCCAAATGCCAACCACTTGCTACTGGCTATGGGGTTCTGCTTGGCCCTGATGAAGTCTTGAGTTGCGCCCAGTCCCCCAACGCTTGACCGGCACTGAGAAACTTGAGGCTAGCCAAGCTTAGGGCATCTCCACCGGTGCGACTGTATAATCAGACTGTAAAACACCGTTTTACAGTTCCTGTATTTTGATTTTGCCGTAGAAACGGTGTTCCAACGACACCTCCGCACCTTGTGCATTTTGATCAAATCGTTTATGCACAACCCAGACGACGTCGCTGATTGAGGGGACGCGGCGCTTCCCCCTCGATGTAGAGGAGACATGGGAGCAGTACCCCCGCATGGTCACTGAAGAAGTAGCGCTTCGTCGACCCCTTCGAACAGGGAAAATAGCAGTTGTTCCTGTAACGGTTTTAGGCAACGTATAACGGTTCTTAGCCGTTTCAGCGGGATTCTAAGGCATTTCACCGAGGTATCCACGCGACGGTTCGCAATAGTTCAAGATGGTACGGTAGCGACATGGCCAACACATTCATTTCTTGCTCTGTAATGTAGCCACCAAAGAAGAAAAAGGGTAAGAAGAAGTCCAAGGAGGAGCTCGAAGAAGGTACCCTCTACCCTCTCTCAACCATTCAGTGCACCGTTCCCTAACAGTTACCTTAGAGCGTCGGTTGAAGGAAGAGGAAGACGCCCGCATTCACTTGGAGGAGCAACGCCGGCTCGAGGAAGAGCGCAAGCAACGCGAAGAAGAAGAGAGAAAGCGGTGCGAAGAGGAGGCCAAGAATCGTGCTGCGGAGCTCGTGCGGCTCGCCGACGAGTACGCATCCAGTTTGTCTGGCATCGAAGCCAAGGCGAGTCGACTTGAGGCTGACTTGCGACGCCGCAAGGACCAATACGACGTCCGTCGCACCTTGTCATCCCTTGGCTCCACATCTAACAAAATAGTCCTAGTGGCAGAAGTACCTCGCGTGTGACCCTAGCCCGGACGCAAGCGTCGAGAACGACATCAATGCGTTCTTGCACTCGTGGACGCAAGATACTAACTACAGCGACGTCAACTTAGCCGCCCAGTCGTGCGATGCGGCGAGGCTGGTCGTTCAGGATTTGCTATATCTGCACATGGAGGCCCGAGCGCTGCACCGCGAGCCGCAACTGAACCGCACAGCCATGTACCTCCACAAACTCATGACACTCACGACGGAAAAGTTGGACGCGACTACTGCGCACATGCTGCAATACGCCGACGAATTCCTGGACCCCTCCGGCAAGGGCGAAGTCAGGGTGGCTGCCTCCGCTGGGCCCATCAAGGTATACCAACTTACTTTCACCTCTACAATCACTGCCAATGAAGCAGCCTCTCGGTGACAACTCCCCAGTCACGTCATTGGTTATTCGTCTTGGTTCTTGATCCTTGGGATAAACCAGTGTGAGGGTGAAGTTTTGATGTCTCTTTTATGACATCACCGTTGCGTCCTCTACACCCCATTGCTTTCGTTGGTTAAATTGTACACTTCCTAGGTTGGATTATGGATGAATTTGGTGCCCAAAGGTCTGCGGAACAAGAAAATTGACTTTTCTGAGCTCGGAGCGACCGTCGACGTCCCCAAGCCGGTCGTGATGCAGACGCTGGCCGTGCGGGTTTGCTATTTGCCGTATGACGTGGCGACTCAAACGGCGCTGCAAAATGTCGACGCGCCCCTGGGTGGAGTGTTCGGCCTCGACTTGCTCAAGATTCCAGCGGCCCCCAAGGGAGCTCGGGGCTGGACCATGCGAGGTAGACTCCTACACTTCTCTACGACTTGATGTTAATAGCTGTGGATAGAACTGAGCACGGAAACCAACGTCCGGCTCGAGTACCCCCTGGAAGGGTCGGTGGCGACGGCGTCCCTGGCGGTCAAAGTCACGCTGCTGCTTCCGGCGGACGTGCTGTACCCGGCCAACCCCCGTGTGGCGTGGTGGGACCCCGTCACACAATCATGGCTCGACGACGGCATCTCAGAAATCCTCCTCGTCGAGGAAACAAACATGCTGTACTTCAACACGATGAAGCTGACGCATTTGGCCGTGGTACAGCGCCGGAATGTGCACCATGTCAAGCACTTTTGGACGATGAAGACCACCGTGATCGACGACGGGTCCGCCTTCACCGCTGGCGCGACCGCCGCCGTCCAGCTCGTGCTAAGAAATGCCATGTACAACACAATCCACTTTGAGGTGACGGACGTGGGGGTGCGGCTCGTGGCGCCGGCCGTGCCCGCCCTCGCCGCCCTGAACGCGGCCTACCTGTCGCCGGAAGAGCTGCTCACCCGCCTGGGCACTGCCGGCATGGACCTCACGCCCACGGAAGTGGACGACAAGCGCTTCGACGTGGTGCCCAAGCTGGCAGTCTTGGAGAAGCATCTCATCGCGCAAGTGCTGGGGCTGGTCGCGGCGTTCGAAATGAAAAGTTTGAGTGGCGACGAGGACGAAGTGTCGCCGCAGTGGGAGCGCTGGAGCGACAGTCCCCGGTACGCCGTGTTTTGCGTCAAGGAGGTTGTGTGGCCGTGGCTGAATCAAGCGGACGACGTGGACGACGTTGGCGAGTTCATCCACGTGCTGGCTGAAGTCGACGAGGAGACCGCGGCCGAGGTGAAATTCCGGACCAATGCCACCTTGTCGGTCAACAACCCGTTCGACACGTACGTCCATCTTCGCCACGCGCTTGCGACGCTGAGCACCCCCGACGCCAAGGACCGCATGGACAACTCCAACCTGCTGCTCGAGGTCAACCTCCAGAAATTTCTAGCCTTGTTGCGTCTCTTCAGCTACACCAAGCCCCCGAAGCGACGCGTCGTGGAAGCACGAGGTCGAATGGTGACGAACAAGGACCAGCTGCCGCTAGCCTCGGCGGAGGCGATGGACCCCGCAGAAATGGCGACGTCACAATAAGCACAATAATATATATATATATCCCACATATGTGTGACCTGAGTGTACCTTTCATTTTGTGTGTCTGACCATTCCATCTGTACCAGTATTGACACTTAGCCTAAACAACTGTGTACATCCATTGGCTTTTACGTTACTACAGTACTACTGTAGT